AAAGACCCCGGGGCAGATGGCAGCTTTCTCCCAGGCCGGGCAGGTGGAACAATAGGCCACGATTTGTGGGGCAGCATGGCATCTGGGGGGCAGTGGGAACAGGAAGAAGTCCTAAGAAGCAGGAAGAGACTTGAAGTTCCGGCCTCTGAGAGGGTTACATTTTCCAATAGGAATTTGCTGGATGTCCCTGGGCAGAAATCTGAATGGGATCAGAATTTAACGGGCAGGTCCTTTGCTAAGTGATCTCATTGAGGCCTCTCAGGAACTCCGTGGGGATAGGTGCCCATTTTACAGAAGAGGAAACTGAGGTTCAAAGTGGAGACAGGTGGGATTTGAACCCTGGAAGTCCGTCTCTGCAGCGCTGCCTTTTCTTGTAGCATCTACAGCCTTTTAGGCTTATCTCTTCCCTGCAGGTGGCCCCCTCCTCCCGGGGCTCTGAATTGTAAGCCTCAGTGTGAGGCTATGCGAACCGATGGACCAGCATTATAAATAAGTCACCTAACGTTCAGTAAGTCAGCACCAGCACGGCTATTGTTGGAAAGAGAAATAACTTGGTTATTAATACATACAGGAGGCCACAGTAATTGATAGCAATTGAACTCATGGCGCACAGGGGACAACAGTCATGTTATTTTTCCCCCTCTCTCTCTGTCTCCCTTTGTGTCGAGCATAAAGGGAAAGAAAAACACAGCCTGCCTTTGCAGGTGGATTTGAGCAGCTCAGAAAATGAAGTGCCGTTCCTTTCCCTGGCTCCTTTCTTTTCTCTTTTTCCCATTTCTCCTTTGTTCACTCTCTCTGGGGACCTAGAATCAAGTTGTAGCTCAGTTATTCAGATGCCGTGTGACCTAGCGCTGGGCCCTATCCGTTTCTGTGACTCAGTGGCCTCTACTGTAGAATCAGGTTTAACAACACAGCCCGCAGACCTTGCAAGGCCGTTGGGAGATCAGCCAAGGTCACACCACCATCCTCCCCCGAAGCGTAGACACGCTCAGGTGTGCCTCCTCCACCTCCTCCACCAGTGGCATGACGGGATGCACGGACCATTAGCCACTAAGAATATAATAGAATTGTTATTTGCTAATCATTTTATGAAACAGATTCATATGAAACAGATTCAAGGATGGGCAGTCCTATCACATATGCATCGTATTTACATAAACACAGCCAGACCTGCAAAGGAAAAGTGAGGCCAGGAGTTGCAGACACGTATTTCTGCATAGGTCACGGCCCCTGAAGGCAAGCCGCCCGTTGCCTCCGGAGGGACAACAGCTGGCTGTGTTGGCATTGTGGATGCGCTGCCACACTGTACGTCATGGGCAGCTTAGGAGATTTTCAAGGGCAACTTTAAGGGCACTTGGTTTTTCACCTCCGACTCTGACTTTGGGACAGTGCCCTGTTATGAGAGGAGGCCCCTCCGCATGACGCCACGCTTAGGGTCTTGCATGCTGGAGCCAGGAGGCCCGAGTTCAAGTCCTGCTTCTGCTGCTTACCAGCTGCATGACCCTGGAAAGTCACCCTGACCTCACAGGGCTGCAGGGAGGATTCGGTGAGGCCGTGGGTGCTCAGGGCTCAGCTCAGTGCCTGCCCTGGGGGAGTTGACGTTAGGATATTAAGGTCGCCTTTGTAATCCTGTTGGGCATTTCTGATTCTTTTTCTTCGGTGGGTGAGACAGAGGAGGGGTGACGCGTGGGGCACCAGGGAGCCTTCCTACCGGCCAGCATCGCATGTTCTATGTGATGCTCACAGAAGAACAGGGAGAGGATCCCCAGATCGTGTGGGTGGAAGCCCACCACAGAGCTGAACCACATGTGAACTGAGATAGAGGAACCCGCGGCTGGATGTAGTGCAGGGCCCAGGCTTCGGGGAGGTGGGAGCAGACGATGTATTTTCCTGGTCAAGTTCCCTGCGCGCCTCCTGGGTTTCAGCAGCGGGATTCTGCTCTGTGTATTTGGAAATACAGTGGGGCCTTGACTTACGAGTTTAATTCGTTCCGTGACGGAGCTCATAACTCAAATTACTCGTATGTCAAATCACTGTGATGTTCGCTGCGCCAACTAGCAGTGGGGTATCTGAAGCTGGCTCGTAACCCGAATTTTTTTGAGCTTGCAACTCAAAGCAAAAAATCGGCCGAGAGACGGCTTGTATCTCAAAAAAACTCGTTAGCCGGGACACTCGTAAGTCAAGGCCCCACTGTATGCCCCTTAAATCAGGCAGGATTTAGAGTCCTGCTGCGTCCATTCCCCGCTCCTCCTTTCAGACGGAAGGTCACTGCAGGTGGAGTGTGAGGGACTGTTTGAGAGAGTGGCGGTTGTAGGGGGAGGACGCAGGAGAGGGACAGGACATCGCCTGCCTCGACAGTTACCACCTCTTTAATTTGCTGTCCCCCCCCCCCGCCCCCCCATCCCCCTTCGCCCAGGAAGAAGAAAGTCTCATTCAGGGCTAATAGCCTTTAATGCCTCTCTTTCTTCTCAACAGAGAGAGCAGCCCTCTGGCTCCCAGGTAACGGTGTCTAATGAGATTCTAATGATATTTTTGTGCTCATGTTGTATTCGGTTCTACTTTCTGTCTGTGACAACTGATAATGGCGTTGGTTTGCAGAGTGCCCCCCCCCCGCCCCCCGCAGGCGGAGGGCAAGGAGAGACGGAAGGAAGAGGCAGACCCCTCCCGATTGGTAGGTGGCCGGATTAATAGGGGACCTGCCTGTGAGGTGTGCCTTGGGCGGCCACACCTGCCATAATCTTAAACGTTACTGTAGAGGCCTAAGGAGTTCAGTGCGTATTCAGTCCAGATGTTGTCATCAACACCTCACTCTCTCCAGGCTGGGTCCTGGAGCAGCTCCCAGTGTGGGCACGGCGGGCAGAAGGTACATTCCAAGGACGGGAGGGGAAGGAGCCTCCGATTGCCCAGCTCCAGCTCCTGGGTCAACTGGTGGTCTCGTTCTGTCAATGACCTCCTCCAACAAATGGGTTCTCAAGTATGTGCTGTACCATTTCCTGTTGCAGTGTGTTTAAGTGAAAAGGATAAGTGCGTCCATTGAAAAGAAAGTCCTCTCTAGGATCACAAGGATATGGAGCATTCGCTGCAGGTGGTATTGGAAGGCTGACTTGGGGGAAGTAGTTTTTCCACCTGGTATCGGTCTGATTTGCGGTGACTTTCCGGGGTCAGTTTTCTCATGTATAAAATGGGAATAATAATACTGCTTCCTGGGACCCTTGTGAAGATTTGATGACGATGACGATGACGATGATGATGATGAGTAACTACAACTAACACGTATTGAGCCTTTTCCACGTGTCATACCAGGAATTCTAACCCAGAACTTTCTGGCTCCAAAGCCATGAGCTGAACACAGATGACATGTCAAATAAAATGGGGTGAAGGAGTGGTAACCGTTACCCTCACCACCATCGTCCTCACCTTCTTTATCATTTTTGAAAGTGGCGGGAATTTTTGATCAGCCATGTTACCTCTCTGAATATCTGTTTCATCATCAGTAAAATGGGGATAATCTGTAAAATGGAGGCAGCAGTCGCAGGCAATAGGAGGACCTCAGTGAAAAGCAGTGGTGACGTGTGGCCCTGAGTGATGGGCCAGGGCTCCTCCTCTTTGCGTGGCGTCAAAGTCCTGGATAAAGTCTTTTTCCAGATTTCCAATTTAGCTTTAAACCAGGCGGATTCTTCGAGGTGTCTGCTCGAAGAATTGGGCCCCATGATCTCTTTCTGATGGATCGTGAAATCTCTGTGGGCAGCTGTGTTTCTTATTTCAAAGATGGAAACATATTTTGGGGAAGATAAGCTATGGGAGAAAATTATTTAAGGATGGTACTGTCACTTGTTTTAATAATTCATTTTTTTTACGTGGATTACAAAATTAGTATACAGCCGGTATAGGAAACTTGGAAAACACAGAATCCCCTTACTCAGCTGCAATTGTTAACATTCGGATGTTTCTTTTTATTATTATTTTTTGTAGCAGCTTAGAGTGATTTACACAGTTCACATCATACCATGGGTTGGTTTTCCAGTTTGCTTTTCCCTTAACAGTTGACTTGCCCATGTCATACAACATCTTTGTTGCTGATCTTAAATGTCCTTATGATCATCCATAGAGTGGCTCCCCATTGCTTCTTCAGCCTCATCTGGTTACTCCTCTCCTCTCTTTACATCGAAGCCACCTGGCTTTCTTGGCATTTTTCTTACGCACCATGCTGGTTTCTGCCTCAGGGCCTTTGCACTGCCTCCTCCTCCTACCTCTAGAGCTCTTCCTGGCTCCTTGTGTGGCCAGCACCTCTCCCCTTTCATAACCCAGTTCATATCACGCCTCCGTAGAAGCCCTTTCTGACCACCATAGATCCTTAGCAACTCCCTCAATTTCTCTTCATCTCATCACCCTGTTTTATTTTAGCAAAGAGAAAAAAATATAACTATAATTTATCCCCTGAAATGATCTTGTTATCTATTTACTTGTTTATTGTTTCATCTCCTCATAGACTGTAAGCTTTGTCTGTCTTGCTCATCATGGACTTCCCAGTGCCTAACACAGTGCCCGTCACATAGTAGGAACTGAGTAAATATGTGTTGAATAAATGGATGGCGAGATGGTTGGGTTGTGGCTGAGTGGGTAGTTGAATGGATAGGTACGTGGATGGCAGGAAGTGGTGGATGGGTAGATGGATAGGTAAGTGAATACGTGGGTAGAAAAATCATACTTTTACTCACCATTCCCCAATTCCACGTTTAGAGTGTCCCCTATGATATTTCTAATCGCCTACAAAGAGTGAAGGATGCAAGTGTCAAGGAAGAAGGATAAACATGTCTCTTGGGAAATATGATCCCTGCCCAGGGCTCATCTGCTAGGGGCCCAGGTCTGGGCCGGTGTTCAGGCTTCTGCTAAGGATAGGTGGCTGGAGGTTGGGATGTCCGAGAGTCCCCGGTTCTCTTGGACGCCCCTCACCCCATGCCCAGGACTCACCGCCATACTTCTGTTTGTCCCCCTCGCAGTGGGCCGGAAGCAGTTTATGAGGTTTGAGTGGGCAAACCACGCCGCTGAGGCCCTGGGCTGTGAGTATGAGGAGCTGAACACGGCCACCTTCAAGCACCACCTGCGACAGATAATCGAGCAAGTAACGTCTGGACCAAGCCGCCGGGGCCTCGAGGACGAGGAGACCAGCTCAGGTAGGAAGGGCTGCCTCTCTGGGTGGGCAGGGTCCCCGCTGGGCCAGCTCCTGGGGACATACTAGCGTTCCTTCACCTATTCACCAAGGATGTAACGAGGGTCTGCCACATGCAGGCTTTCCAGGTGCACACAAATTTACAGCACACACTCATAGACACATGCATTTTTCTCACACAATCACAATCATGTTCAAGACACATACCACCTACACAGACATACACACCATGAAAATGTGCACACCACACACACACACACGCTGAGACATGTGCACACACTGTTTTGTGAGGCACAGACACACGCTGAGACATGTGCACACACTGTTTTGTGAGGCTGAGTCAAGCTCTCAGGCTGAGGTCTCCAGGGTAGATGTTAAGCAGGCAGGGGACTGGCAGGTTTAGGAGAGATGCTGGGAGGCTGTGGGTTGCCTAGCAACGGCCCAGGTTGGGGGTGAAGTTAAAGGAGGGATGGGAAATGCTTTGGGTCTGCAGCGGGCTGCCTGGAATGTACAAGCAGGAGTATTTCTCCAGGCACCGGTGCATACAGATTGGGAACTTGTGTTTCCAATTCTGTGGGTGGAACCAGAAATCTAAAGGGTCGGGATCTGTGATCTGACACCCTCAGCTCTCCACCCCAACTCCTCACCCCCTCACCCCACTTCGTTCAGTGCACTCTAACCAAGGCTGGCTATTTCTGTGGGACCAATGAGTGTGTGTGTGTGTGTGTGTGTGTGTGTGTGTGTGTGTGTGTGTGTTTAAACAAAATTGAGACTTAGTTTTGTAAACTTTTTTATTCTTCCTAACATTGGAGGTAGGCACTTTTTCATCTCATTCAGTATTCTTCTCTACCCATTTTAAGCATTCTTTTGTATGGATGGACTACAAATTAATCCCTTTGCTATTGTTGGATATTTAAGTTGTTTTGAAAAAGTGATTTTTGCCAATTTGATCAACAATCGGGAGAACATTTATACCCAGAAATCCTCGTTTCTCTGAATATTTCATTAGAATAAGAGCCTCCGAGTGACACTATTAAGTCCAAGTATATGAACATTTTATGGCGTCTGATATACAATTGCCAATTTTCCCTCCCGAAAGAGAGAACAACAAGCGTTCTCAGAGTTCCTACTATGTGTCAGGCACTGGGGGTTTGGGAGCCAGCAAACCAGAGACCGTCCCATCCTCGGGTCACTCCCAGCCCGGGGTCAGGGGCCACACAGGTGGATAACATAAGCACACCTGCAGGACATGCTGTGGTCAGTGCTGGGGAAGCTAATGCCCTCGAAGTTCCTCCATGCTGTAGCAGATGGCACGTTTGAATAATGTACATCATGATCCCACTTACATCAGAAATCTGAAAACACCAGAGCCATAGAGGCGGAGAGTAGAATGGTGGTGACCAAAGGCTGGGGCGGGGAGAGTGGGAGATACTGACCAGAGGGTACGCAGTTTCCCTTAGGCAGGATGAATGCATCCTGGAGAGTAGAGGACTGAGTAGAGGGGTGAGATGATAGGAGGTGAGTATGTCAACTATACAGCATAGTACCTGTAGTTAGCAATGCTGTGTTATGTAATGAACATTTTTTTTTGTAGGGTAAGTCTTATGTTAACTGTTTTTATCACGTACACACACACACACACACACAAAGGGGGGGGGGGAAGAAACTTCTAGAGATGATGGTATGGTGATGTATACTTATCAAACTCACCAGGGTGTATATAAGAGGAAGGCAGAGCCTTTTGTATGTCAATAATACCTCTCTACATTAATTTTAAAAAGATGCAAGGTAGAGCTAGGAATTGGCCTAATGGGGTGTTGATCAAGGCAGGCTTCCCCGAGGAGGTGACCTTGGGCTGAGCCCTGAGGGATGAGCAGGATCCTGGAGATCCTGATAAGACACTTGGTCCTAAGAACATGGGTATGCAACGTCCGTGGGGAGATGGAGGTGGGGGTGGTGTGTGAGGGAAGGGGATTCTCTAAGGCCAGTGGTGATCCTGATCCTTTCCTCTTTCCAATTCCAGGGCTCAAGATGACGGGTGTTGAGTGTGTGGAGGGGATGGCCTCGGGCCTGTACCAAGAGCTTTTTGCTGCCGTGGTCTCACTCATCAACAGGTAACTGCGGCCATTCCTTGGCACAAAGCCAACCTCTTTGCAGGTACACAGCGAGCCCAAGCATGGACAGGTAAGCAGAGTAGGGGATTTTGGGGCTAGAGAGTGGATTTTCTTAGTCACACAGTGTCAGGTTGAAATGACACCTCAGCCACCCACTGGCTGTGTGATGTTGGCAAATCAGTGCGCCTCTCTGATCTCCCCTTCTGCACATGCAAAAGAGCTCTATCCCCCAGGGTCATTGTGAGGATTCAGAGAAATAAGGAAATTAAGTATCTCTTCCTGATCAAGATCCTAAACACCGACAATAAAAGCTAATGATTCCAGGGCACCTACTAAGGGCCAGGGCCTGCATTAATTGTTTAACCCAACTTCCCTGTATCATTTGATATTCACATCAGCCCATTGTACAGATGAGATGACTGTATTCCCCCTCGTACCTTCAGCTTTCTTCGAATAACCCACCAGAGTGCCCCTATCCATTTATTTTTCTAAAATTTCCTGCTGGGAAGGGGGAACCTCCAGGGGAGAATTTCCAAGTGGGCCAGGATGTGTGCCTGCAAGGCTGCAGGCATTGTAGCCTCTGTTTCCTATTGTGATGAGCCAGTCAGGGTGGGAGGAAATCTTTAAGCAGTTCCAGTGGTGCGGGTCCAGAACCCAGGCAAGTGCCTCCCTCCTCTGTGAAAGGAGGTGTAATTAGGCTTCTGACATCCTGTTAAGGGGGTGAGGCTGGTGCGCAGCAACAGCGCAGCTGGGGTCTTCCAATATCACCAGGACAGAATCCACTCCCTCTCCCGCTCCTGGAATAATTACCACTTGAGACCCGTATAGAAGCCAAGGGGGTTGTGCTCACTTAGAGCAAGGAGTACTGGGGGCGGAAAATGAACTGCCGACTAAGGAAGCTGCCTCAGCCCATGGAGGGCAGTTGCTTCATGGCTCTTGTTCTGGGGCCACATCCATTAAATGGGTGCATCGATGGGTGTGTTGGTGGTAACAGTATCCACAGCCACCATTTATCAGCCCCTGGCAGGCATCTCACTTTCCAAGTGTTAACTGACAGTCCTCACGCATCACTGTGCGGTGACTGATCTCACTGGCCCATCTTACAGATGGAACATCTCGGCAAGTAACGGGGAAGAGCTGAGGTTCAAAGTAAGGGCCCTTCGAAGTGGATGCTGGTCGTGCTGATGATAAGAGCAGATGATGCACTAGTGTTCACCAGGCACTTCCCTGCGCTGGCCTTGTGTTCACCTCCAAGCCTCCGACAGCTCTCTGAGTTCAGCTCTACCTTCTCTCTTCCGTGGCTGGCTCAGAGAGGTTGGGCAACTCTCTCAAGACACACAGCCCCTCATTTGCAGAGCGAGGGTTGGAGCCCACATGGGACCATCTCCCAAGTCCCTTAGCTCCTGCATTTTGATGCAAATAATCCCTCCTCTGTCCACTGTGATAGATTGGTCAAGAGGACCCAAGGCGGTGATGGCTTGAAGGAACTTTATAAACAGAGGCACTGAACAAAATTCTTTTTCTATTGCAGTGTGTTACCAAGAAAGAAAAGGAGGCTCTAGTCCTAACTTATAGCAATTTGCCAGGGCACCTGAAGCAAGTCCTCCCTCCACTCTGGGCCTGGTGGGGAGGACATTTCCTGAAGGCCTGAGGTATCCGCGGGAGGCACTTGCCAAACATAAACTCCTTTGATTCTTACCACAGTCCTTGGGATCATCCTACCATCATTTCAACAGTTGGGGAAATCCTGCTCAGAGAGGTTAAGTAACTTACCCAGGTCACACAGCCTGTAAGTGGTGAGCCTGGTTTTGAAAGTAGAGCCGCTGGATCTGAAAAACCACCCAGCACACTGCCTCAGTTTCTCCATCTCTGTGACGGCATTGGCAGCTTGGATCACCAGGGCCCTCAGATGCCATGTCATCTTGGGACCTTTCCCCTCTCTCCCCAGATCTTTCTCCTCCCATCACCTCTCCATGGCCTCCATCATGGTGGTGGACTCTCCGGGCTTTCAAAACCCCCGGCACCAGGGCAAGGACCGGGCCGCCACCTTTGAGGAGCTGTGCCACAACTACACCCACGAGCGCTTGCAGCTGCTTTTCTACCAGCGGACCTTCGCCTCCACGCTGGAGTGCTACCGGGAGGTATGGCCAGGCGGAGGGGGCCTTCACCAGGGTGCAGTGGACGGTGTGAGGCCTGGTCCTCTGTAGCCTTTGACTGCATCCTGTTTGGCTCATCGCTGAACAAAAAACCCTAACTCCAGGCCTGGCTCCAAGGCCTCTGCCACACTCCTTTCTCCTTTGCTCCCAGCCTCCATCAATGGCCCTCCCAGCTCTTCAGTTCGGGGCCACCAAGCATCTGGGGCTCCCCAGGCCTTGCTCCCACAGCTGCCCCTTCTTTGGGATGAGGGTTCCTCTTGGCCACCTCATCGAAGCTAAATCCTCCCCTGATATTGAGCTTGCATCTTCCCCGATGTGGAAAGCCCTTTGCTGTGTTGCTGGGTGAAAGTGGGTGTGCTCCTTGGATCCTAGTGTGGCAACATCCTAGAGTGGCAGATGCCAGTCCCCTTCTAGGAGGCACCTAGAGAGACTCTGGGTGTGAACCGGGAAATGTGTGCAGGCTTGTTCCTGCCAGCTCTTTTCTCACTGGAAAACAAAGTTAAAATTGAAATACAACAGCTACACGAGAAAAGCACATAAGTCAGAAGTGAGCTGCTCAGTGGATTGCTCCAAACGAACATACTCACGCATCTACCACCCAGGTGGGCAGTGGAGCATTGCCAGCACCTGGAGGTCTGCTCCTTCCTTCCTCCCCGAAGGAGACCCCTTTACTCCAGCAAGTGCTAAGGGCAAAATATTAGAAATGCCCATATATATTTTTTTCAATAGGTAATGGGTTTTTCAAATTACTGCCATTTCTTTGGTTGGAGCCCACAGAGCAAGAAACATAAAAGCATCAACATGGATAAATCTCAAAAAAAAAGACATTGATGAGACCTGGGGTCTGAATTCTGTCATTCATGGGCTGTGTGGCCTTAGGAAAGTCACTCACCCGCTCTGATCCTCGATTTTTTTCACATGTAAAATAGAAAGAATACTTTTGTATCAGTTACCATTTGCCATGGTAACTCGACCTAATAAACTCCCTGAAAACACATGGCTTTAAAAATAACCTTGTGTTATTGCTTACAAGTCTCTGGGTTGCCTGAGCAGCTCTTCTGGTCTTGGGGGTGAGGAAAGTCCTCACTTCTCTTGTCTCTTCCAGCAGTTTTCTATCCCGTTCGTTCGGCTCATGGATGGAACTGACCTTGAATTTCTGTGACTTTCCAGGAAGGCCTGCCCGTGCAGTTTGACCTCCCGGAGCCATCCCCCGGGACCACGGTGGCCATTGTGGATCAGCATCCCTCCCAGGTAACATGGGGCCCAGCAAACCAGGGCTCTCAGACACCGCGAGGCCTTTCAGTGGAAATACTTACAGATTTGAGCCTTGAAGCTACGAGTTGTGAATGCTCTCTGCACTGGCAGGGTGCTTGGCACCTAGTAGGTGTCCTGCAGGTGGAATTGCTCCTTCCATTTGATAGCACAGACTACCCTTTCCCTCCTTCCTGTATCCATTCAGGCAGGGTGGGCTCCCAGGCTTCTCCTGGCTCACAGTGGGCTGCACCGTCCCCTCAAAGCCCCCTTGTTCGTGAGCCCTGCCAGCCATTCACCTGCTTATGCAGCTTGTTGGCACTTCTCTGGCTGGTTCCACCTCCCTGTCATGTTCCCGGGAAGGGGCAGTCCTGGAGGAACGACCACGGCAGTGAGGAGAGAAAGGCCATGGTGTCCCCAGATGCCGGGGCAGTGCCTGGGAACAGCTGCCTTCTGAGGATGGGCTGGCTGTCGCTTTTGACCCCAACAAAGAAGGGCAAGGTGAAGGGACAGGAGGCCTGGGGCCCAGTTCTGGTTCTGCCCATGTCTCTCCATGTGGCCCGGACATGTCCCTTCTCTAGGGGCCTCTGACGAGTGTGGGTCAATGTTTCCGAGTTAGGGAAGCCTGCTGTCCTGATGTGCCGGGGACCCTGCTGGCTTTAGCACTGAAATCCTCACGTCCTGGGAGGCCCCGCAGTCCCTGTCCCTGTCACCAGGGCCACCATACATATCACATTTCCTCCGTAACCACTCAGCACGGTTATTGGTTATGTCAACTCATCACGGGCCCTCGGATAAGCCCCTCAATGCCCCCGGCCTCTGTTTCCCACGTGCAGAATTATAAGCATTGCCCGGATGGTCTCAAGCTCGGGGCTAGATTTAAAATTCCGTGTCTGTGCTATTGAATCAGGTTCACCATCTCCTCGGAAACATTAGTTGGGCACTTCTCCTCCCGCCTCAGGATTTTAGTTTTAAAAAGTCTAAAGACTTCTAGGAGGAAGTGATGTGGATGGAGTAAATCCTTTCATGTTGGGCTGTGCACACATACATATAGCCGCATGTGTATCTAGAAATGTGTCATTACACGGCGCTTTCCTGTGTGAAATCCTCATACAGCCCTCTGCGGAAGGTACCGCCAGCCTCCACTTTACATTAGAGCAGCAGTTCTCAACCTGTGGGTCGCGACCCCTTTGGCGGTCGAACGACCCTTTCACAGGGGTCGCCTAAGACCATCTGCATATCAGATATTTACATTACGATTCATAACAGTAGCAACATTACAGTTATGAAGTAGCAACGAAAATAATTTTATGGTTGGGTCACAACATGAGGAACTGTATTTAAAGGGCTAGAAGGTTGAGAACCACTGCATTAGAGACAATGAGGCTCAGAGAGGTGCAGTGAGTTGCCCAAAGTCACACAGGAAATGAGATAGAGGTGGGATTTGGACTTCTTGGAGCTGAGAGGTTGTTACAGTGTTGTGGTTTTTGGGTGAGTGGTAATGAATAAGTAAAGATGCCTGGGGTTCAGCTCCCCTGACTCCTGAAGGGGGAAGAGAAGCCCAGGACTGGCATCTGTTGGGGATCAGGGCTCCTCAGTGTATCATGGATCTCACGCCAGGTCCGCCTACCACCTGGAGGAGGTGCTGCAGATGCCAAGGGCCTTTTCTGGGTCCTGGACGAGGAGGTCCGGGTGGAGGGCTCCAGTGACAGCGCAGTGCTCGAGCGTCTCTGTGCAGCCTTCGAGAAGAAAGGAGCTGGTGCTGAAGGTAAGGGAGTGAGGGAGTAAAGGAGCTGGAATCTGTCCTTGTCAGCAGCAGAAAAAGCCCTGGTAAGGCCTGCACCGGGCAGGGTCTGAGTGTGCCTGTGTATGCTTTCATTCATTCATGTGCTCATTTATTTGTGTATCCAGCAAATGTATTGAGCAGCTACTGTGTGCTGGATACTGTGCTATATTGTGGTGAACCGGCCTCGAGCGGCTCATAATTCCTCTTGAGGTAACCAAGGGAATGAGGGTTGGCTGAGAAGGTGGTCAAGGACTCAGCCCTAGGACATTCCAATGTTAAGGGGCCAGGGATAAGGTGAGCGATCAGCAAAGGAGACTGAGGAAGAGTAGCTAGGGAGGCAGGAGAGAAGCCAGGAGAATGTGAACGGACCAAATCAAAGCTGCTAAGAGGTCAAGTGAGGGGTGGCTGAGGGCTGGCCACTGGCTAGGCCACATGGAGGCCATTGGCGACAGACAAGAGTAATTCCAATGACATGTTTGGGGTGCATGTCTGATGGGAGTGGTTTCTGAGAAATTGGGAAAGGGTTAGAGAAAGAAATAAGGCAACACTCAGAGCCACCATCCACTGGATTCAGGCTGCGGGAGCCTCTACCCCAAGGGACCAGCCGAGGCCCCTGTCCAGACATTCATGCAGCATTCTCGCTCTCACATCAGGGCATGATTTTTTTGTTTTGCTAATCCTCACCGGAGGATATTTTTCCATTGCTTCTTCAGAGAGAGTGGAAGAAGGGAGGTGAGTGGAAGAAAGAGAGAGAGAGAGAGAGAGCGAGAGAGAGGGAGAGAAACATCAGTGTGAGAGACACATTGACCATTGCTTCTTCAGAGAGAGTGGAAGAAGGGAGGTGAGTGGAAGAGAGAGAGAAGAGAGAGAAACATCAGTATGACAACCCATATATGTGCGAGGGCCAGTGCTCTAACCATTTAGCACACCAGCCAGGGCCAGGACAAGATTTTTAGGCAGCATCTGATGGCTCCAGCACTCTGAGAAATGTATTTCTGTTGTTTAGGCCACTCAGCGTTGGTACTTCGTTATGGCAGCCACAGGAAAGTAATACAGTTCACGCATGTGTTATTAATAGTATCTATGTGTCTTTATAGCAACACAGTCATGAAATACAATTATATATAATTATACAATTTACAAAATATATAAACATATATGGTGTATATTTACATATATGCCCTGACCGGGAATCGAACTGTCACCTCCTGGTTCATAGGTGGATGCTCCACAACTCAACCACACGGGCCGGGCAGGCATGGGGCTTTTGGGGTGTGGCGGTAGAGGAGGAGGTACACCCAGATGCAGAACAGGCAGGAGGCAGGGCTGTTCAAAGCTCCCCCGGCTTCTGTCCACAGAGACCTGGGTTGGATCCCGCTCCATGACTTCACTGTAATGTGTGTGGCTTCTGGGAAGTTGCCTCCCAGGGGACTGGAGTGAGGGCAGATGAGCTCATGTGGGCCAAGAAGCATTTGTACATCCTCCCCCTGCAGCTCGCTGCCCAGAAGTCCCCGCCTCAGAGCCCTCCCCGACCCTGTCTGAGCTGTCCCCTCCCAGCCACGCTGTCCCATCACAGCTCCCTGGTCACTTCCCTCAGGGCCTTTTCCAGGACTGCGGACTCTGTTATCTGTGTACTTGCTGCTCAGGCCCTCGGACATCCCGGGGGCCCCCAGGGTGCAGGACACAGGCCTGTCTGTTCTCTGCTGACTCCCTGGTGCCTGCACCAAGGCAGGGCCTCCGAAGAAGCTGCCATTTGCCCTTCCCCTCTCCTCTCTCGCTCTGTTCCAATCACACCGCTCTCTCAGTTGCCCCTTCAACATCCCCACCTCAGGGTCCTCTGCTGGCTGACGGAACGCTCTTCCGTCACACGTCAGTATGCATCTCTCCCTCACCTCCTGCGGGTCGCAGGGACCTGCCTGACCACCTTGTGTAAAATAATAACCCCCACCTGCCTGTGCCTGTCTCCCTTCCCCTCTGCTCCATGGCAACCATCACCAGGGGCATCAGGCAGCACTGGGCTGGTCGCCTCTGTAGTCATAGCGCCCAGAGCGCTGGCACGGTGAGGAGGACAGTGACTCCTGGTACCGGATAGATGAAGGTGCGGAAACCCAATGGTCCTGAAGCAGATGAAACGATTCCTCAGATGGAATGCTTTCTGCATCTTGATTTTTGGATAAAAGAGACAGAAAGTAGGGCCAGAAGCAGAAAGTGTCCTGTAGGGCGTGGCTGGGACAGGAGGGGGTTCAGCTACCAGTGATGGCGAACCTTTTGAGCTTGGCGTGTCAGCATTTTGAAAAGCCCTAACTTAACTCTGGTGCCGTGTCACATATAGAATTTTTTTGATATTTGCAACCATAGTAAAACAAAGACTTATATTTTTGATATTTATTTTATATATTTAAATGTCATTTAACAAAGAAAAATCAACCAAAAAAATGAGTTCGCGTGTCACCTCTGACACGCGTGTCATAGGTTCGCCATCACTGGGCTAACCTGTGGCCCCTCTCCTTTTCCTGTGGGGCCCCAGATGCCACAGCTGGATGCCCTCGTTCCCAGGGGAGAGACTGTTGCTCCTTTGTCTCGGACTGACTGAGAGACTGACTCAGACATTTTGTTTTAAAAAAAACAACAGTCTTTGCCTCTAGGGCTTTCTGATTGGCTGAGTGAGCGAGAGCAGTCAATCAAGCAGAACACGCAGGGTCTGGCTAACTTGCCTGGCTGTCTGCTATTTCTCACCGCAGGTGTGTTTGCGGGTGACTGGCCCGAGGGGGCAACCCTCATGGCTCAGAGATTTAAGTGGCACAGCCGCTGTCATGCAGTCATGAGTAGTGGAGTCGGGATTTGAACTCAGGTCTTCTCCAACTCCGAGCCCATTTGTTTCTCCCATTCAGACCCTCCCAACGAAGTGTCGGCCAGCATCTCCCAAGAGTAGGCTGTGCCTTTATTTGGATGATGGTATTCAAGATACAAATATTTTCAACATTTTAAATAATTATGTATTTATTTTCATGACTGTTAAAAAATAAATATCGTTTGCTCTCCAAACCTGCAACATAATGTTCCTTTATAAATGGGTTTATCTGTAAAAATGCGAGTCGAGTTAAGGAAAACATTAATAACAGCCCAGGTGATTCATGGGCCTGGTAGAAAATCATGCAGATTGTATGCACTAATGATGCTTGGGGAAAACAGGTATTCTAGATTCAGGACTATAAATAGGAGGAATAAAATCCATGTGGGAAATAATGCGGACAAATGCACAGAGCAGGGGAAATGTGGATCCCCAGAACGGTCAGCTCTAGCTGCCTAGAGACATTAAAAGGCAACGAGTGTGTTCTTGGTGACGCCGAGTGATCGCAGTGTCCCCCATGGGCCCCCACACTCATGCGTTGTCTGCTTTCAGGGACCTCTGCCCTTCGACCCTGTGAGCAGCCCCTCCAGTGTGAGATCGCCCACCAGCGGGGACAGGACCCCGTGCGCTATGACCTCACGGGCTGGCTCCACAGGGCCAAGCCCAACCTCTCAGCCCTGGACGCCCCCCAGGTCCTGCAGCACTCGAAAAGGTGAGTCCGGCCAGGGCCAGGGCCAGGGCCAGATCAGGGCCACTGGAGGCGCTGCAGCTCGTTCCCCCGCAGGGCTGTGCAGTCACAACAGCCCAGCAAGTGAGGGCTGCTCCCGGACGTCTCTAAGGACAGGGCCGTAATTCAAATCGGAGCAGTGCAATGTCTCCCCAGGGCCAGGGAGCCCAGCCGAGGAGAAGAGCCGGCCCCGGGCAGGTGGAACAAATGTCCAAGGCTGTGACTTCTTATTTCGGCTCTTTGCCTTTCATTAAGTATCTGAGAGATGATGTGACTGGAACAGCTTTTATAGACATCCTAGAACGAGGGGGTTGTAAAACCGAAGTGATAATGTTTTGTAGCATTAAAAAAAAACTCACTGCATTCCCTGGCTGCTCTTTTCAAAGTGCTGGCCGAGGGCTGGCAGCAATCGCCGCCTTTGGTTCAGAGAGTTACTGGAAGTGCGTGCATGCGTGTGCGTGTATGTGCGTGTGTGTGTGTGTGTGTGTGTGTGTGTGTGCTTTCTCCACCATAAAATCAGGGTTTGTTGGACAAGACCACAAGATTTGGTAGATGTTGCACAGCTTTGAAGTCAGGCAGGTACTCAAATTCTGCTTTTGCCTTTTTCAAGCTGCATGACCTGGGCCTCAGTTTCATAATCTGAGAAGTGGGTGTGATGCCAAGCTGCCATGTCTGATGGAAGGTTTTAATGACATGACTGATGGCTTATTAGGAAGCCTGGCTCCTAGCAGGCCCTCAACCCACGTCTCACTGTGGCCATGGAAATTCCCTTCCTGCTCCAGGATCCTATGGCTCAGGCTGGGTGAGGGGTGTGGGGTTCGGAAAGGGTGAGGCAGACCTCTGTGGACCAGATGGCCTGGTGAGCAAGGAACATTCTGGAGGAAGGAACGGCGTGTGCGAAGTCGTGCTCACGGGAGTGAAAGAGCGGGCAGGTTGGGAGTAAATCCCATTGGGAGGTCTTGTGTGCTCGAGAGCCAAGCATTGGTGATTTCTGAGAGCAAACAGTGCTTTTCCTCCGCGTGTAGATCTGCAGCCAAGAGCGCCAGACGCGCCAGGACGGCTTGCTTGGCATTCTGATTCCCGGGCGCCACCCAGTCTCTCTGGGGAGGGTCCCAGGACTTGCTTTGCTGACAAGCTTCTCAGGAGGTTCTTGGACACTCACATTTTGGTCAGGCACTTTTGCCTTATATATCAGAAACAGGCCCAGAGAGGACACGTGACTCACAGAGTTAACTGAAGGCCAAAGGTGAAGTCTCCCAACCCCACAGATGGGACAGTCCCTGTATAGGTACCAGGACTAAGGGTATGGCTTCCTCTTCCTATACCAGGGGGAAGTGCTCACATGCCCCAGTGCCCTGCCCTCTCCTCTCAGGGCTCCTGCTTCCAGGGGGCTCCCCTGGCCCCTCCCTAGCTTTTAATTTCAACGTGTCTTTCAGCCATTGTTGGTCTTTGTGCTCGGTCAGGCATTTAACCACTTTAAGCAGCTTTGGGCATTTGAGACTTATTTACTCAACAGTTTGCACAGTGGAGTCAGGCATGGAGGGCGATGGATAACAGGTCTGAGGGCTGGGGCGTGTCCTGGGCGTGCAGGGAGCGGTAGGAGGTGCCTTGCGCTTCTATTGGAGGGCGGGGCAGGTGGGACCTGAGAGGCAGGGGGCTTCTCTGAGGCCCAGCCTCATCCCAGGGCGCAGCAGGGTCTGCCCAGCCTTCTTAATCCTCTTCTGCCCACTGAAGCAGGTGGGCTGGCTCAGGCTCATCGGAGCGGAGCCTCCTGGGCCCTGGCCCTGGCCCACCAATCTCAGAACCTGGACCTCACAGGAGCGCCCAGGGAAGGCACTACCCGCCCCTTGGATCAGGCCGGACTTTTCATTGACTGGTCCAGATCCACATACTGACCGCTCACCCTGCGAGTCCTTCATTGTTGTACTCATGCTTCTGCCCTCCGAGAAGGTGCAGGCTTAGGATTCCCGCAGGCTTGGAAGCAGCAGGGATACCCAGCAAAGGAGAGAGGTTCTAACGGGAGGAGAGGGGCCCGAGGAAGGAGCTGGCGTTGGTCATGAGACAAAGGCTCACCTGGCCGAGAAGGACAGTGACCAGCACGTGTGATTCACGGGGAGGGTTCAGGAAGCAGGTCAGCAGTAAGCAAAGTGGACCCATCTCCCCTGAAAGCCCTAAAGGCCCCTCTCTCCCCCTTGGACCTGCCAGGGAGGAGCTGAGGAGCCTGTTCCAGGCCCGGGCCAAGCTGCCGCCTGTGTGCCGCGCGGTGGCCGGCCTGGAGGGCACCTCCCAGCAGGCCCTGCAGAGGAGCTGCGCTGTGAGGAGGACCTTCGCCAGCAGCTTTGCCGCAGTGAAGAGGCGAGCCCCCTGCTCCCAGATCAAGCTGCAGATGGTGAGTGGGTGCCCTGACCCCACGGCCACGCGTCCCTCCCCTCCTCCAGGGCGGGTCACCTACCTGTAGCACCTCTAACCTCCCAGTGAGCCTGGAGGGCAGGCATCGCCCTGAGTGTCACAGAGGAGAACACCGGCACTCGGGGCGGCAAGGAAACTCGGCCACAGTCACACTCCTGGGGCGTGATGGTCCCAGTCTGAGGTCAAAGCCTCGGCTACTTGGTGTTGACTTGAGTGGCTTCAGGCAGTTTGCAGGAACCACTCTGTCCTTCTGACCACGCCAGGCCCGCCTGCCTTCCTCCCTCCCCAGGGCCCACATGTTCACCACCAGGCTCTCCCTGGGAGAAGCAGCAGGCTGCAGCACTGGATGTAACTGTGTTACCTAGAAACGTTCATCCAGTAGCAAATGAGGAAATTTGATTGGTCAGTCGTTATGCTGAGCCCAGAGGGTGGGGGCACGGGAAGGGTAAGTTTTGAAAAAAACCTCATAGCATCTTATACTGAAAAAGCCCACAGATCAGGCCCTGGGTTCTAGTCTACCTCTTCTGCTGCGCCACTCCCTCACCCTCTCCATGCCTCAGTTTCTCCAACTGTTACAACAAGGGCTATTCTGAAGGCCCCTGGTCTTCATGAGTACGAAGCAGGCCGTGGGTAGGAGGTCCTTGGTGTAGGACAGAGGGGCCCAGGAGATGCTCAGGCGAGGATGAGTGTTTGCTGGGGGATGTCCTGACCCCTGCTGTCTCACCCTGGACAGCTGGCCCTGACCCCCTCTCCTCCGGTTCTAGGATGCGTTGTCCAGCGTGATCCGAAGGTCTCAGTTACACTTCATCCACTGCCTGGTGCCGAGCCTCACGGTGGAGAGCAGGGGTGGGCAGGGTGCTCCGACCCCGCCGCAGCCTGATGGGGACAAGCCCGGAGCAGGCGGGCCCCTGCCCTTGGACATCCCCGCACTGAGGGTCCAGCTTTCGGGCTCCTACATCCTGGAGGCGCTGCGTCTGCACAGGGCAGGTAAGAGCCACCAGGGAGTGAGTACCTTGTCTCTGACGCCTGGGACATGCCCGCCGACCAGGGGCACCACAGGGACAAGAGCACCAACAATGTGCCAGGAGTTCTCGACTCTTCCCAGCAGCCCTGTGAGGGGGAGGCTATGAGCACCCCCATTTTACAGATGAGGAAACGGAAGCTCAGGGAGGTCAAAAGACGTGCTCAAGGTCACACAGCTGGGACATGGCAGAGCCTGGATTTGGATCTAGGTCTCTTTAAATCCAAAGCCCTTTTTATTTCTTGAAATAGTCGTGTGCTCCTGGAAGACTAGGGCTGTGTCTTACTCATCTTCCTTCCAACAACAAACGTGTTAGGAGCTTCCACTTTGGAATCGAGAGTAGAGCTCCCCCAATGAGGGATGCTTTGGTTAAGATGCTCAGCCTGGTTTGGGAGATCAGTGTGGAAACCGGTGATAATAATGCGACGTGGCAAGGGCACGTGTCACACGGGGATGCAGGCGGTACCTGGATGCCTGGAGGAAAAAGCTCTGGGCTCTCATTGGTGAGATTGGGAAGACCTCCTAGAGGAGGGAGCATCTTAGTTGAGTCTAGAAACAAAACAAGCAGCTCACCCTGGGGCCGGGCCGGGGGCGGGAGGGGGGGGCGGGGAGAGGGAACCTTGGGCAGAGGGATCAGCATATGCAAAGGCAGGGAAGGCACTGCCCAGCCTGGGATTTCAGGAAAGGGGGTTCAAAACAAGTGAGGGACTTGTGAGGGGGCAGGTCCAGCGGGGAAGGCTGTGAACTGGTCTGTGGAAGTTGGGTTCTCCCAGGTCCAGCTGAGGCAGTGACGGGTGGTGGGGGTAAGGGGGTGCAGTCAGAGGAGTGAAGTCTTCCAGGCCTGTGTTTTAGAAAGTGGGCACGCACCCGAAATTTCCACCACTGGCTCATCTCAGGAGCTGAGTTTGACTGAATCCTTCCCTTCCTTTTCTGCCTCTCAGACCCCAGAGGCCAGCAAATGGATGCCCTCCCTGCCCATTAGGAATGCCTCAGGTGCAGGAAGTCTCTCTGCAGAAGGTGGGGTAGCTGGGGCTGGTGGGGAGCCCAGGTGGACCCCCGTTTGTTTAATGTCTCTGTGGTCACTGATACCCCAGCTTGTGGCCGCTGCCCCCACCTGTTCCCAGTGTGTTAATAATGGAACCCTGGGCCCGAGGCATTTGATGGAGAAGCTGGGAGCAGCAGGAGGCAGAGATGAGGCCCTCACTCCCCTGGGCGTCTCATTGATTCTCCCTCCTGCCTGAACAATCGGGCGGAGGGAGACAGATAATGTCTCGGGAAGAGCGAGAGTGGGATGGTCACAGCCACAGCGGCGACCGATCGATTCTGCCTGGCTGGCTGGCAGAGAGCGCTGGGCCTCTGCAGGCGCCATGGACTGCCCGTTAGAGCCCCTGTGTGCACGCTCAGGTCAGCGGTCCCCTTCCCCAGGCCGCATGTCCTCACTGCAGTGTCTGTCCTCTGCATTCTCAGCATCGCCTAACTCTGTCAGGATGAGTTTTCCAATCAAGTGGAGGGTGGATGCCTTGTGGTAGACATTTCCAGTGTCTGCCTCCCAGACCTGGTTCGTTTCCTCAATTTTTCTTTCTCCTCTAAATTGCTTCTGTCTTTCTCACATCATACAGGAAATGTTTACATGCATCCCTAGCTACATACGTATATAAAATATTTATGGTTTTGAATTCATGCAAGTATAACATGTACATACAGCTACAGATGCACACATAGCCATGCTGTTTGTTGAGTACCTATGATGCGCCAGGCACTGTCGTCACACATAGTAACTGGCATCAGTCTCACAGAGGACAGCGGCTGGCGTATAGAAAATGCTCATTAAACATTACGTGTCTTATGTCCTGGTGGGCACAGCTCAGACTCTGGAGGGCGTGGGCCTGGGCTTGACTGTGACTGACACCGGCAGGTCCCGAGATGTGCCTCCTGTGTCTTTCACCTGTAATAGTTCGGATCTCAGCTGTGGAGGGTCTGCAGAATGAATAAGGTAATAACACTTAGAAGATCGCCTGGACGTGGGAAGGCATTCGATGAATGTTAACCTCTTACTGCAATCATCACCAGATTTAATCATAGGGGCCCTGTGAAAATAGATGTGATTCTCATCTGACAGGTGAGGAAATTGACGCTCAGGGAGATGGGGCCATTTGTCTCCAGTCAAAGGGCTAATGAGGGCAAAAATGGGATGTGGACCCAGATCATCTGACCCAAAAGGGCAGGCTTGAAACCTCCCAGCCTCCCCCACCCAATCTCTGTTCAGTCAGCAACCTTTGAACCTGACTGGAGACCCTCCTCCTCCTCCAGGAAGTCTCCTGGGATTTGCCACCTGCAGGCACTGTCACTCTTCCTCATGGTTTATGCATTTGGCTTACTGTGGAGCGAAGTCTCAAAAGTAGTGAGATTTCATCAGACTTCCTCCCATCAGGCTACTTGAGAGTGGTTTTGTTTGTTTGTTTTAGTGGGGGTTTTTTTTTGTTTTTATTTTTTAGGCCACTAAGGCTCTACCATGTCCCTTATATCCAAACCTCAAGGTTTGGGTTTAGAGTTCAAGTTCCTTTGGGACCCAGTCCCTGCTCACCTTTGACCTATCATTGTCTACTCTCCACTGGATTAGTTATTGTCCTTGTCCGGATTTGAACCCCACCTGGGAGAGTTACCATCTGTGTGGCTTTGGGCGAGTGACGTAACTCTCTGGGCCTCAGTTTCCACATGTGTAAAACAGACACAGGAGTGTAGGCCCAGAGTGTCTGTCACAGGGGAGTTGATATCCTTGTGTCTTACACATGGAGATGCTCAGTAAATGCTGGCTGTTGCTGTCTATGGGACAACGTTAGGTTTCCCCGCTCCACCTCCCTCTGCCTAGACGCCCCTTCCACACCAGATCCTCTGACAAACTCTTTCGGCTCCTACAAAGTCCAGCTCTCATGCCACCTTCCTGGGAGCCTCCAGAGCCCCTCCCGTGTCCACGCAGAAGGGTGGGTGCAGCTGTGTGCATCCTACATGTTGGATTCACAGGAACTCTTAGGTGTTATCCCATTCAGCATTTCTTCGTGCAGTCTGTGGCTGATAATAGTTATTAGACAAAAAGAAAAAGATTTTCCATGGTCGAGCAGGTTTGGAAAAACCTCTGGGTGCAGCAAAGCTAACCCGGCATCTTCCGTGCAGAGGTTCTCCGAGCCTCTGACAGCGATGCTGACTCACATGGGGACTCCCAAGAGGCAGATAAGAGCCCAGCTTTTTCAAACTTGCAGTGGAGCGTTTTTAGGGTTTGTGTTCTGCAGAGACATTCAGAAAATGTGGACTGAACCTGATCTCTGAAGTTAGCAAATGGGGAAACTGAGGCCCCCTAATGAGTCCACATAGCACATTAGGAGCAGGGCCCTGGGCTGGGTTTCTCACCTAGATACCGGTTCTTCCCCTGCCCACACCCTCTCCCCCAGGTTATGCTGACCACATGGGGCTCACGCAGTTCCGCCGGCGATTCCAGGTGCTGGACCCCCTGCTCACGAAGAAGCTCATGTTGGCCACTGAGGGAGTCGACGAGAGGAAGGTATGTGGAGATGGGTGCCGGGGTGGTGGAGGCCCTGGGTACTTCTGTTCCGTAGGGGAAGAGAAGGGGCCATCTCGACCAACTGGGATCTGAGAGCCGAGCCTTGGGGGCAAAGATGAGGGTGGTGTGAGGTGTGACCCAGACCCCTAGACTGCACCCCCACCATGCCCCTTAGGACACTACCCATCCCAGTGATTCAGAATCACTTCCGAAACCCTGTGTGAGGAAATGCAGGCAAAGAATTAGCCAGGAGGAGAGCATGTCCCAGCTGCAAGGGCCCCCAGCAAGATGAAAAGCCATCTTTCCTGAGGGAGTTCTCTCACACCAGCACCCTGAGATGGTCTATGAAAAGGGGGCCTTGCTGTCATAAAAGTTTGGGAAGCATTTCACACTAGAGCCCCATCTTATAGAATTATAGCGAACCGTGCGCCTCAGGGCCTTTGCACCAGCTGCTTCCTCTGCCTGGAGCACTCTTCCCGCTCTTTGCATGGCCAGTGTCAGCTTGCTGTTCTGATCCTGGCTTAGCTGTTACTCTCCATCACATCACCTTGTTTTAATGTTTGTACAGCACTTCTCCTTATTCAAAGTTAATAGGTCCCCCTGTGTGTTTTCTGGCTCAAGCAAGCGTTCCATCAATTCTCTGTTGAACGAAGGAATGAGTGAATGAATACACATACCTGACCCCCTATTTCTGCCCCTGTGTCTCCTTTCTCCAATGCTACTGTAAACTCCTAGGGCTGGAACCTCAGCTTGACCCATAGTGCCACACCCCCAATAATTTTCTATTGAGAGTGGCCACCAGCTGATTGATGACCACAGAGCTCTTTAGAGTTTGCAAAATCCCATTGCATCCTTGCAACAGCCATGCAGTATAGGAGTGACAATGGCCCTTTTACAAATGAAGAGACGAATTGACTCCCCTGGGGCCACACAGCCAGGCATTCGTGGGTTTTGTCCTTGAGCCCAACTTTCTTGATTCCAGTGAGGCCAGTGGAGACAGCATGGGCTCCAGAATCACACAGACCTGCACTTGAGTCTCAGCTGGGGCTGTGTGAACATAAGCAAGTTCCTTCCTGTTTCTGCCTCAGTTTTCTTCACCTGTAAATGGTGTATAACAACAATGCCTACCTCAGTGGGTGTTTTGAGGGCTACACGGAACTGTATAGCTGAAGTACTTGACACAGAGCTTGCTGCATGCTAAGGGCTCGATTTGTATGAGCTCCTATTATCAGCATCATCAGCATCTTTCAAGGCCAGAGAGATGACAACCAAGCCACACAGACTGTATTTTTACAGCCATATTGAACCTTCACCTCCAGGTGGGTGTGCCCACGTGCACTTGGGATCATCAGTCAGTGAGTCACTGGGCTGGAAGAGTAAACAGAGCCACAATCATTAGGTCCTCTCCTGGCTCTTAGCAGGCAGGCCCAGGGCACAGGCCACCTCCTGGAGACAAGGAAGTGCCTTCCATGTGGCCTTTCCAACTCACCATGGGGAGGGGACATCAGTCCCAGCTCGTGCGGTGCAGGGCTGTTCCCTCTCTGGGCAGCTGCCCATTGTGGAAGCCACTAACCACTGTGTATCCGTCTTCATTTGGGGTTCTCTGTCCTAGGTCCCCCCAACTTGATCTCTGTTCAGGGCATCTGGAATGGAGCCATTGAAAGGTCTTGGGCTCCTCTGCAGTTGAAAACAGCACGGATGTGTGGTGTGGGGAGTCTTGTGCAGTGGCAGTGGGTGTAGCATATGGAAGAGTTTCTATTCCGAACGACTCAGCAGTTCCCTGTCGCAGCCAAACCGAAACCACCTCCACGCACACGCTGGAGGCCTGGGAAAATGGAAAATTACAAGTGGAATGGACTTGGTGGGAAGTTTTTGCCGCTTCTTATTCTTTTTTCATTTGCTCACAAATCTCATTTGCGGCAGCATCGAATTTTTGGTAGCAACAAAAGGAAACAGCATCCTGCCTCTTATGAGGAAGCTGATAAATATTCATTTCCCAGGCAACGTGATAGGCCATGAATTATGCATGAACATGTGCTCGGGTGGGCCAACTGTCAGCCTGTGTGTGTAAAGCAGTGAAGACCTCAGGATTGGAGAAGACAAGTTTGACAGCTAGAAAAGGTCAATATTGTCGTCGGGCACTAGAGGGAAGCAGAGGGAATGCGCTGTCGGGTATACAGTGGGCCTTGGTGAGGTCCCCTGTGTGCCTGATGTGGGGCACCTAACCATTGGTGTTTCACACCAAGACTGTTTCCCAGTGAAGTGCTCTCATGTGGTGGTTACCCACTGCATGCTTTGTGTTCCTGAAACAAAGCACGTGCCGTTTACCACATGCGCAGTCTCCCTACAGTGTTTCTGGCACCATGTGAAAAGGTTACAGATCCTTGACCTGAAACCATCCTCAAAAGATAAATGGGGATTATCCCCATTTCACAGCAGAGGCAGCTGAGGCCATCACCACCCAGCCCGGCGGTGGCATCTCATTGTGGTTTCAGTTTGCATTTCCCTGGCGATCAGTGGTGTTGAACATTTTCCACGCTTGAATGGGAGCTCTCTGAGGACCAGCAGTGTCTGGTGAAGTTCTCTACAGGATGTGCCATTCCTGATGTTAATTTAAAATTATTATAAACTTTGTTCAACTTTAGCCAAGTACCTACTTTGCAGCAGTCCCTGAGCTAGGTGCCACAGATACAGGGATGAACAGAACACAGCCTCACTGGGGGAGAAACACTTAAGCCATTTCCACAGAGGAGTGGCTTTAGGATGCCCCAGGGAGCACCCCTAAAACTTTAGATGTTTTCAGTAGGGGCGAGAGTGGGGCCCCAGGGAAGACACCTCTGAGCAGGCGATGATTGAGTGGAGCCTGGTGGGATAATTTGGAGGCGTCAGGAGTGCACACATTGGGCACTGCTTGTACAAAGACCTGAAGCCGTGATGTCGCATGGCTAGCTTAGTGTAGCTTCAGCATAAATGAGGCCAAGTGTCAAGAAAAGGGGCTGAGGCCAGGCCATGGGCCATTGTTAGCAGGGCTAGAGAGTATGGGCTTTCTCAGGGGGCAGCTCCTTGTTCCATTCCGGCTGGTCATTGTCCATTGCTTGCCCCAATCAGGGTGACAATCTTAGGCTGGCTGTTCCATTGACCTTCTTCACTTGTTTGCAGCCAAGAAAGGTTTTCAACAGGGCATGACACAGACAACAATGTGGACTCAAGCAGTGAAGGAATTCTAGTCAATTCTGCCCAACCCATGGTCCCCTCTAGGGAGCAACGTCCTTGTGCTGACCTCCAGCTGCTCAGGATGCACTGTTCCTTCTAGACACCCAGGCATATGCCCAGGTCTGCATGATGATCTTATATCCCTTCTAATCATCTTGGATCCCTTTCATGGGTCATCCCATCTGGTTAAACGTATACCGTAAACTACACTGAAGCCCACCACAGTGGCCAGCATGGTGGAGTCCCAGGCAGGTTGGTGGAGGAGCTCTTTTAGCTCACCTTGGCCGTGTCCTAGATTCTGGTCATTCCTCTCTCTGCACCTGAGGCAGGAGTGGCCAGGTCTCTCCAATCAATGTGAGGGAACCCTTGGAACCCCCCTCCCCTGAGGGTGTGTGCAGTGTTGATTGATTTTATAGGCAACAACATCTCTGTCCCTGGGACTTGATCTGAAGAACACATTAAGGGATGCTAATCCATCTTCTCAAAGGCAGCCACTCTTATTTCATCTCAAACCCTGTGGACACTCCCAATTTCCTCCCAGTTTGTCTCTGAGTCCCTTTCTTCTGGGAAGAGGCCCCTAGGAGCCTGTGGCTGGGAGGGGAGCTGTCCGCAGTCAGGGTGCTGAACGACTATTCCGACGCTCCTATAGTCTGAGCCCTCAGGAATTTATTTATCGTCATTTTCCTGCTCACCTTGCTGTCCCCCAGTTTGAGTCTCCTCTTTTAATAATGTTGGTTTTCCATTCAGTGTTAACCAACCGATTGTGTGTGTTTTTATTTGTTTGTTCATTTAGTTTCTGCTTTGTGCCAGGCATTCTATTTACAGTCCTGAGCAGAGAGTGTTCAATACCAGGACATAGTCCCCACCCTTATGGAGGGAGTGGATCGATGTGTGAGAGATCCAGTGGGTGAAAGGGTGAGGTTTAGAGTCAGATGGACTTGGGTTCAAATCCTGGTTTCTGACATCTCTCTTTCCATTCATTCGTGCCCACAGGTAACTTTTAATTGGGCATCACAAAGCACCTGGCACATAGTAGGTGCCTAACAGATGGCAGCTGCTGGCTATAGCAGCCATTGGGCCATGGCATTTCATGGTCAATGTGCTATGCCAACAGCAGCAAAATAGTTCACTGGGTGAACATCCAGTTCCACAAACATGGATTCTCCATTTCACACCATTCGTTGAGGAGTGAGTTGGGGAAGCATTTCTCAGTCGTGGCTCCTTATTATTCCTGGGGGCCCTCACTGCCTGTCTAGCATGTTCAGCTTCAGGTGAGGTGCCAGCCCACACGCTTTTTGGGTGCATCCTTGCTGAACATTGCAGAGAAAGCGCTTTGCAAAATTCTAGGGACACGAAGGGGCTCTGTAAGTGGAGGCCTGGTGTGGGTTTCTCCCAGGGACATTCAAGGACTCATAATTTGAGCCCAGAATGGTGGAGGTGAGGGGTATGCCATCTCCCCACAGTGTCAAGGAAGGCCTTACAGCCTCAGAACCTCCCACAGTTACTGGCATTTATGGAAACTTAGCATGTCCCAGGTGTGATAGTAAGCACTCCATGTGTCCTGTATTAACTGCATGGAAGTCTTTGTCAAATTCAACATCTAAGCCCACAGAGGATGTCTGCTGTCTGCTTATTTTCTGTTACCTTTAATATATGTCACACTTTCCAGGTTTTTGGTGGTTTTTTTTTTCATGACTTGTAATTTTCTGTTTAAAACTAGACATTTTAGATGCTGTGTGATAGCAGCTCTAGATTTTGGTCTTTCCCCAACTATTTGGTAACTAACTTAACTGGACTAGATTTATGGAGTCTGTCTCCCCCATGGTATGAGACTGCTGATATCTCCACTCAGTTTTTATTTGTTTTGTATTATAAATGGTGGGTTCTCAGGGGTTGCCCTGGGCCAGCATAGCTTGTGGTCAGTAGAGGCTGTGATCAAACACCTTCCGCCTGTGAAGCACTCACCTCATTCTCGTGGAGCTGCATGTGTGTTGGGAAATGCATTCAGCAGTCAGGCGTTTATGATTGTGTCTCGGCTTTCACTTCTTGTTTGGCTCATGGCTTTATGTTTGCATAGGGGTATGTAGACAGCTAGGGCCGCCTCTCTCTCCTGTGCACGGGTGCGGCCTTGATCCTGGGCGCAGCCTTCCAGTTGCCAGGAGTGTGTGGGAGCTCATTTAGGTGCACTGTGGCTGTCCAGTCCCCTACAGCTCCTTGTTCCATTCCACCTGGTCATTGTCCATTGCTTGCCCCAGTCAGGGTGACAGTCTTAGGCTGGCTGTGCCACTGACCTTCTTCACTTGTTTGCAGCCAAGATCATAGTGTTTCTGTCAGTGATTCTGGGTGAGGGGTTTTCCTCTGCTTTACTCCATATAAAGTGCTCCTTCTGCCAATGACGCTGCTAGATTCCACAGCCTGCCTCACCCTCGCAGGATGACTGCACACAGAGCGTGGTGGGGAGTGGAAGAGCCCCATCCAGATTGTCCCAAACCCTCAGGGTTCCTACCTGCGGGTCAATAGGTTTTCCTTGAATGAATGCTTCTCCATGTGTTGCATCCCCTGGCTCAATGTCCAGAGTGTTGAACTGGTTGTTTTCGAAGATGGTATCCACTTTTTACCATTGCTTTTTGCGGGGAGAGGGTTTATCAAGCTCCTCGCTCCATCATTCTGGAAGTCTCACTCCTGCATGCTACTTCTGTGACCTTGTGAAGCCCCCACTGCATCCTTGTGGGGCAGGAATAATCACCCCCTATTTTGGAATATGAGGATCAGAGAGGAGGGGTGCCTTGCTCAGGGCCACACAGCCCAGTGCACGGTGGCCTGGCCTAGACCCCACGGTCAGAGGGCAGAGGAAAAGCTCAAGAGTCGGAATCCCTGGGGTGGCCTCTCCCCCATCACTTCTTGGCATGTGACCTTTGACCAGTCATTTCATTGCCCTGGGTCTCACTTTCTTTCTCTCTAAAACGGGCGTACAGTAGTGCCTGTGGCAGAAGTTTGAAAATAAATGAGTTATGTGTCAGGTGCTAGGAGCAGGGGTCACGCTAAAAAACACAGGAGAAAACTGGCCAGAACGGCCACATTTTCCTCGGCATCCACGCCGAGAGGAATCAGCTGCAGTGATCTGGGCAATTCAGATGGCTTGGCTGATATTCCAGAAAGATGCCGGACAACAAAGACATTTCTTATGTAAACCTGGATCGTTGCCCCGGATTCCAGCAGCCGGCTGGTGGCTAATGATTCCGTTAATGTACAACCAAATGAAGTCACTGATATTTCACCCAACAAGTGACAGTTTCTAAGAGTGATATTAATGATGATGATAATAATAGTAATTAAGTACAAAGTCACTTACAAAGTCATGTTACACATTCTCAATTACTCATCCCAACCCTGGAACAGCCCGGACAGGGGACAATATCACCCTTTTGCAGGGGAGGAAAATGAGGGTCAGAAGTATAGGTCTATACCCGTCGCCACTCACTCACTCCACTATCTGCACCTGCACTTTCTTCTCAGTAAAGTGAGGTCAACAGGACAGAATGTGTTTGTTAGCCCTAAGACTCTTGGCTACACAGCCATCTCAAGGGCTGTAAGGAAGCAAGAAGATGGAGAAGAATCCTTGAATATTAGGGGGAGGAGGTGTGTGTTTTGGCAGCATTTGGGGTGCATCTGAGAAATGGAAGCTAAATGCATGTCCTTCAGTGCCTCTACCAGGTTTTGGCCATGACAGAGCTGGTAGGACAGGCTCTGAGACACGGTATGGACCAGCTCACGGTATTTATTAGTGCTTCCCGTACGCCTGGTACTACGCCAAGCCCTCCGCAAGCACAACCACAGAATCTTCGGAGACAGTGCCATTATTTCACCTCCCACCCCCATTTTTTCCTGAAGAGTTGCCTACAGCTCAGAGTAAAATGCTTGTCCAAGGTCACCTGGGTCATGGGTGCTAGAACCAGGATCTCAGCCCCGGTGGGTCTCACTCCAGACTCTTACCCCTCCCCCAGCCCCCAGCACCTACTCCGAGAACTGACTGTAAGGCAGACCTAGGAAAATTTCACGGGCTGTAGGTTTCATCCTTTCTACTTTGAGCCCATTTTTATTTTGTTTTCCTCTTGTGCAGAGAGAAAAGATGTTGTACTTTGGAGATATTGCTTTCAGGCATTCTGCTGCCCATAGCTCCCTTGGAACGTCTTTTGGCTAAAATGTAATAAGTGAAACCACTCAATTTGTGGCGGAGCGGTATGGAATGTTCTCGCAGGAGGTCAGAGGAGGGAACTTCCTCCCGGATTACAGTCTCGGGCTAGACTTTTAATAAGCTTTTTTTTTTTGTATCGTAGGGAGTTTTCTGTGATGCCGATGACCCGTGGGATTGAAACTCATGTACTAAATTACTCCAGGCTCATACTACCTTTGGTTTCCCGAGTGTCACAATTGCTTTTCTGGCCGTTTATTCTGGAAATTGACTTTGTGGTTTTCGGTGGGTGGAAGGTCCGTGAGGGGTGGCGTGGGGG